CAGTGGATGTGAAACGTTCTCGCGGTCTGGGGCATCCACGGCCGCATGGCGCACCTGATCCAGGCATGCTGCTTCTGGCCCGTCTCGCCCCTCGACTTGGGAAGGAGAACGTCGTCCACTCCTGATCGCCGCATCGGGCGTTGCTCGGGGGCGCCCCTGGAGCGGCGCGATCTGGGAGCTCGTCTTCGACCGCCATCAGCCGCGAGCTCAGCGCTATCCACCGTGGGCTCCTCAGCGCCTGCGCTGACGACCTCGGCATCATCCTCGCCAGGCTGGCCGACATCAGCGTGCTCGCTCCCCTCGTCGTCCCGTCTTGGGCCCCTTCCATCGCAAGATCTCGTAGCCGAGATGTGACGCGTCCTCGCGGCTGGCCACGCCCAATGGTTTAATTTCAAGATTGAGTCCAAAGCTCGCTACCTTGGCTTCTTCGTGGGCCCTGGCGCCACGCTTGCTGGCCACTGGCGCGGCCCGGCAGTGAAATGGCGGGGCCGCGCGGAGAAGCTCGCCGCTTCGCGCGCCCCCGCCCAGCAAAGCATCAAGCTGTGCAACGTCGCCGCCGTCGCGCGCCTGGGCCACGCCGGCAAGCTCTTCGAACCGCCCGAGGGCATCCTGCAGAAGGAGCTGCAGGCCATCAACATGCTGCTGCGCGTCGCCCCCTCCAGCTTCGCCAAGTCCGACGTCCTCGCGATGTCGCTTTGGGCGAATGCGGAGGTCCCCGTCGGCATCGAGAATTACCTTGCCGCCACTCTCTGGAGCACAGCGTCTACCATTGTGACAGAGTGGAGACGCGCACACAGCGAACTTCGCGACACCGCTTACGACCAGCTTCCCATCACCGCGGTACTGCAAGGCGCGCGGTGCAACGACTGCTGGGGGATCAGGACCGCCATCACCCAGCGCCTCGAGGGCGTCATCAACCCCACCTTCCTCGTTGACTGTAAAGGATCATCTCGAGCGCCTGACCCGCACTGCTGGGCCCAGACCCCGTGCGCGAGCCGCCATGATCGCCAGCCGCAAGCGCGACGCTAGAGCAGGACGGCAAGCCACCCTTCATCGCCATGCCCCTCACCTATCTCAACAACCTGACTGCCTTTAACATCGCATCAATGCCATGATCAAACCGCAGAATGCCAACATGAAGTCGTTGCACGAGCAGCTCTACATGGATACCATGTCTGACGCCATCAAGTGCAGCCTGATTGCGTGGTGCCCTGTGCTAGACCTTGCCTGCCATGTTTCACGAGAACCGCCATCTGGACTGCGACGTGGAGCTGAACGAGCCCGAGAGCGTCTTCTCAACAGGGCCCGCTCATGGGCTGCGCAGTGGCTGCCTGGCCGCCTGTTGAACGACCGGCCCATCAACGACCAAGACGACTGGAGGCAGTGGTGCGTCACCTACTTGCACGAGTTGCTCGGCGCCGACCTGTTCCAGCCGTAACGCACTGCCGACGCGCGACGTCGCCGCATCGCCATCGACATGTGCAATCAAGCGCGGGCCACCAGCGGCCCTGGACGCACCCTCCTGGGGCGCTGCCTGCCCCGCACTGTGGCCCAGGGCGAGTCGCCGCGCAGCCGTTCGCCCCGCAGCCGAACATCGTTGCTCAGCCACGAGGCTGCCCAACACCGTGCCCGCCGCCGCTGGACATCCCACGCCCCCCCGTTGCTAGAGCCCGACGCCGACCCGGGCGACATTTACCGCGACGACGACGACATGGGCGCTGAAGACCCACCTGCCGACGCCGACGCACAGCGTGACCTCATTCAAGTCCAACAGGTTCCTGATGATCTCCCCGCCCGGTGGATGCGCCCCCGCGCCAGCCTCGCGACGCTGCCGCCCTCCAGGCTGTGGAGCGCCCTGAAAGTCCTCACGGGCGCGTGGGCGACTTCGCACAGGATGCGCGTGATCGCGACCAAGCGCCCATGCCATTTCGGGCGCCCGCGCGCCGACGACAATATCCAGCATGATTTAGTTTGGAAAGGATGTGGCACCAGCTGAGCATGCCGCGCGGCCAGCTGAGCTCCAACATCTTGACGAGGCTCGGCCTCCCCGAGCAGACCGATCCGTTCAATGGCGAGAACGGCATCCCGAACAACATCGCCAGGCCCTCCGTGGCCACCAGGGCGTGCCACCTCACGAAGGACCAGGACATCCCGATGACCTACAGCAAGCAGACGACTGCCGTTGCTGCCGCTCGCCGAGCCCCGGGGCTGCCCGCAGATCTGTCGGGCGGGGCTGGCGCGCCGTAGTGCGGCCTTCAGACAGACGCGCCCTCTCAGGCGACGTTCGCTCCTCCTCCTCCTCGTCATCATCATCCTTACCTCCCTCCTCCTGCCTTTTTTTCCACCTCCTCCCTCCCCCTCACCCTCCTCCATCCTCCTCCTCCTCTGCCTCCTTCTTTTCCTCTTCCTTTTCCTGTTTATTTCCATTATTTTCCTTGTTTCCCTCCTCCTCCTCATCCTTCTCCTCCTCCTCTTCCTTCTCCTCCTCCTCTTCATCCTCCTCCTCCTCGTCCTCCTCCTCCTCCTCCTCCTCCTCCTCCTCCTCCTCCTCCTCTTCCTTCTCCTCCGATTCCCCTCCCCCCCTCCTTCCTCCCCTTGCGTGGAACTCATTTCCAAGACTCGTCGCGAGCATTCAGATTCTATCTTCGCGATGCGTTTCCCAAATCCGCCTGCGCTCCTGGCTTCGCGCAGTCGCCCGTGTGCTTGCGGTACTCTTGGCAATCTACCCTCCTTCCCCTTCCTTCCTCTCCGGACATCAGGCTGCTCCAATTTTTCTGGTGCGTGGGCCCAGGTGGTCCGGACCACTTCTCCATGGCAGCTTTTTCGTCCTGAGTCGTTTTTTTGACGCTCCCGAAACCAAGCGAGGGCCCCCCGAGGCCGAAACCGGCCAAATACCGCCTGCTCCAATGTGTTGGAGCGTCGGATCTCAGGGTTCTTTCCGCCCCCGCCCGCCCGCCTGTTCCATCTTCCGGGCAGGCGCGCTGGAGCTTGCTGCGGCAAGCCAGGGAGGGTGGCCGAACGAGGAGGGCCGTCGGCGGGCTGCGGGAGAGTGCCGCGCGCGCCATGCGCAACCGCAGCCACTCCCACTCTCGGCTGCGGCTGCAGCGCGGCTGCGCCCCCCCTCCCCCCTTCGGCTGCGGCTGCGGCTGCGGCTGCGGCTCGGCTGATGGGCCTGTTTCCGCCACCGCCACCATAAAACTGGACGGGGGAAGGAGGAGGGAGACGAGGAGGAGGAGGAGAAGGAGGTGGAGGAGGAGGAGGAGGCGGAGGAGGAGGAGGAGGCGGAGGAGGAGGAGGAGGAGGAGGAGGAGGAGGCGGAGGGGGAGGAGGAGGAGGAGGAGGAGGTGGAGAGGAGGAGGAGGAGGGACGGGGTGGAGGAGGAAATGGAGGAGAAGGGGGACGAAGAGGAGGAGGAGGAGGAGGAGGAGGAGCAGGAGGAGGAGGAGGAAGAGGAGGAGGTGGAGTTGGACCCCGTTTCCCTCCAACTTCTCGGGGTGGTGGTGGAAAGCAGGCCCATCCTCGGCTGCGGCCGCGGCTGCGGCGCTGTGCGCGCCCCCCTCCCGGCGCGCAGGCTCTGCTCGCGAGGGAGAGGGCGCGAAGCCCGTGGCCGAGGCGTGTCTCAGGGGGGCTGTGCTGTGCGCCGCTCCCGCTCCTTGGTCCGTGCGGGCCGTGGCCGATTCGCGAGGATGGCGTTGGGCATGGGCGATGGCCCTCCCGCTTGGGCTGGGGGGGGAGGAGGAGGGGAGGAGGAGGAGGAGGAGGAGGAGGAGGAGGAGGAGGAGGAGGAGGAGGAGGAGGAGGAGGAGGAGGAGGAGGAGGAGAGGAGGAGGAGGAGGAGGCGGAGTTGCACGATTTTCGGGCCGAACGAAACGGGGCTGCGCGGCGCCTGTCCCTCTGCAAAAGTAGTAACAAATAATCATGGGACGTTTTTTTGAGTACTCTTTGGCCGTTTTCCATCCAAAATCCCTCTGTAGGAGGACAGGCCCGACTTGCTCCTTGGTCCGTGCGTGCCGTGGCCGATTCGCGGGGATGGCGCTGCGCATGGGCGATGGCCGGGTTGGAGGATTCTCGGGCCGAGCGAAAGGGGGGGATAGGGAAAGGGGGGGTTACGGAATTTGTTGCGTGCAGCTGGTTTCGGCCCCGCCGCTGGGCCCATTTCTGGATACATGGGCGCCTCCTGGCGCTGGGAGGTGCCGGGGAAATTAGCCACGTGAGCTGATTCTCACCCCCCCCCCTTTTGCTATCCCCCACTTTCGCCCGGCTCGAGATGCGGGGGCGGCAAAGAGGGGTTGATGACCAAGGTCGGAGGCGGCCAAGAGCGGGGTGGTTCCTTGGAGGCCTTTTGGAGGCCTCTTGGGGACCTCGTGAGGCCTCCTGTGCGCCTCTTGGAGCCTCCTGGGGGCTTCTTGGGGCAAAGGTTCGGATTTTCGGTTCGTGTTCCCTCTCTTGGGCCCCTTTTGGGGCCGTCATGGGGCCCTCTTGGGCTGTTTTGGACGCTTCTTGGGCCACCTTGGGCCTTTTGGGGGGCCCTCCTGGAGGCCTTTAGGGACGCCTTGGGTGACTGGGGGGTGGGTGGACATCATGGCGGGGGCCATGATATCTCCTCAGACTTCATGGCGCCTCTTCTTATGTCATTGCATCCCTCTCACCCCCCCTGGGCCGAGCACGTGCCGCCGGCCATGATTTGCGTTAAGTTGGACCTGTCCCTCTACAGGAGGAATATCCAAAAATAGTTCACGAATAGTCTGGGGACGATATTTCCAGTATGTGTTGACCATGTTGGGGCATTTTTGGATTATTTTTTATTGTTCGTCCAAAATCCGCCTGTAGGGGGACATGCCCGACCTAAGATTTGCGCCCCCCCGTCTTGGACGCCCCCCTCTTGGCCGACCCCGACGATGGCCAGGATGGACGATGACCAAGGACGACAGTGATGTTTCCACGTCCAGTCATGGTCACGGGTCTCGCTGTCCTTCCCTCCAGCGCAGCTCTTGTCGACGATGTCGTGGCTGAGGTCCACGCTGAGCAAGGCGCGCGCGGCCGCCGCCCCGCGCGCCTCGCTTTCTGGTGGGGCGGGGCTGCTCGTGGACCGTCGGAGCAGGGATCGATACCCATACCGCTACGCGATCATCGTCGCCACTGCTGGGTTCGCCTTTCGGGGCGACGTTCTCGGAGTCGAGGTTAGAGGTTGCCTTGCGCGTTAACTGATACTGAAGCGTCGGCTGGCCGCCCTGGCCTGCTCTACGCCTTCACGCGGAAGTCGTCCACGTCTGCGCGTTTTCCCCTCTTCCTCCCCCCGCGCGGTCGCCCTTGTCTTCTCCCTCCTCCGTGCACGCAGGACAATTAGCCTTTCGGTTGCCCCGAATAGCCACACGCTGGGGCAGACTGTCTCTGCCTCGTCGCCGACGAAAAAAGTGTTCGATGTTCCTGGCGGTTTTCCGGCCACGGGATGCTCTCCAGCGGCTGCGCCTCGCCGAGAGCGCTCCGGGCGTGCTTGGAACGTCCCGAGCGCCCGACGGAGAGCGGAGCTATGCGGCCAGAGAACCAGGGGACGGCAGGGAAGGCCTCTCCCTTCGGAGGGGGGAGGCACCGAAACCGCTACCCTTCCTCGGGAAGCCGGGGGTGGGTACACAGAAGAGTACAGCGGGGCTTGAAATGCTGGGGGTACCGAGCGTGTCTGGGGTTGGGGGGCTCGAGCCGCCAGCATCGGCAGCGGCGCCCGCGGGTTTCGTCGACGGGCGCCGGCAGCTGTCGAGGGCCTCCGCCGGGGGCATGGCGTTCCAGACGGCGCCTTCTCGGAAACTGGAGCATATACATTACCAGTGGCGGGCCGTTCTTCAATCCCAGACTTTGTGAGGGTCGGGGACGACGTCGGGGTGGTGTGGTGTATATGTTTTTCCCCGTTGTCCCGGTGAGACAACGAAGAATGGATACACCATAATCTGCTTTCCTGTACGAATCTCAGTTCGTGGCCGGCAAAAGCGCCAGTGTATAGAGTCCGGCCCCTCAATTCCCTCGTTTCTGCCTTTTTGGGGCCCTCTGGGAAGCCCTCGTCGCCACTGCGAACTCTTCGTCAGAACGCAGCCCAGGATCTGTCCGGAGAGTAGCCGTATCGGTATCGCTGTTTCTCCAGGCAAGAGTCTGGGCCCCAACCGCTCCGGCTTCTGGGGGTGACGAGCATGACAGCGACGACGACGACGAGGACGACGATGACGGGGAGAAGCCGAGGAAGGAACTCAGTCAAGACGCTGAAATGGGCCCGTTTCGGGCTGATGAGGGGCTGTGATGTTCGAGCCGTTTCTTTGGTCTAGGTCGGGGAACGTCTTCGAAGATGGCTGTAGCCCCCCCTGCCCATAATCGGGCTTTGCTGAACCGGCCCGCGCGTTTACTGAGAAGCTACATCTTCGTCTAGTCGAGTGCGTCCAGTCAAGGGCCGTGTCCTCATGCCTGCCTTGTTCTGACGGCCTCTCGCAGCCCTCCGGGGGGCGTCTTGCTGCCCCCCACCCCCGCGGGTCGTGTTGGCAGATCGCAGGACGATGTCCGTGGGGCTGTCTTGAGGCCCGCGGCCACGCTCCCGAGGCCGTGGGGCAAGAGGTCGCACACATGTTCGCGCGGGAGCACCCGCAGCACGGGGCTCGGGGCCCCGTCTCCGGCACGATCCACACGGGCATGTTTTTCGTGGTGGCGAAGGCGGCATTTCCCGTCGGCGTCGCCGCGGACGTTGTCCATTCTATCGGGGGAGCGTAAGACCCGGGTTTGCCAGGACTCGGGTTCGCCATCGTTTTTTGACGACCGCGCCTCGGATTTTGACGAGGAGGAGTTTCGTGGGATGTCTGCAGCGGGAGGCCTCGTCAACATGCAGGCTCGGCCTCGTCATTTTTGTGACGACCTCGTCGGGGATTCCCGAGTCCCCTGTACCCAGGTCTTACGTCCCCCTGATTCTAGGCAAAGATGCAGCTGCCCAACAGCGGGCACCGTCTGTTGGGCATCACACCCGCTTTTCCCGTACGGTTGACGTCCTTGTTGAGGGCGCGTTGCGGCAGTGTTTTGGGGTCCTTGGTTCGGTCTGCGAGATACGTTGACATTCACCCTTCCCAGCTGGGGTTGCAAGTCAGTTTCGCGATCTCTGGTCGCGCGGCTCATGTTGCGAATGGCCTACCCGCGAGTTGACAGGGCTAACATCGAATCATTATGATGTTGCGATGGGGAAACGTCGACGCTCACCGCAGAGGAGCCTAAATTCCTGAGCACATGTATTGCCTACGGCACGGTGACGAATGCGGCTGGTTCCTCCGCTGACGAGAAATGCCGGCCCGGGAACGGACCAGCACGGTGCGGAGGCCTGGCTGTCAGAGAATCCCTTCCCACAGGCAAAAAAATCCAGGTGCTCTCTAGCTGTAGCGAATACATCATGTGTATCGGCTCTTCCAGAACTGCCCAGAAAACTGTAGCAAGGGGCAGGTCTTGTCCGCGGATTTCCGAGGGCCGTAACATGTGTTGCGTTTTCCCCAGACTCGTTGATTGTAGCGTAACGTTAGGTCACTGTCCTCGCCCGGGTCCGAAGGCGTGAGTGTCGTCACCCTCCGTCCCCGGGTCCGAGATCGCGTTGGAGAACAGGCCAGTCCATCATGTGTACATGTGAGCTGATCTCGGATAACAGAATCGGGAACAAGCTGGGGAGAGAGAAAGAGGGTGACAGAGAGAGAGAGGGAGAGAGCGAGAGAGAGAGAGAGAGGCAGAGGCAGAGAAACACAGGGAGAGAGACAGAGAGAGAGAGAGATGTACAAACAGCGAGGGAGAGCGAGAACAAACAGAGAGAGCGAGAGAGACAGAGAGGGACAGAGAGAGAGAGAGCGGCCGCGCAAAACATTGTTATACGCACAGATGCCTATGGGAATATACAGATATACATGTACACAGAACTTACATACCCACAGGTGTATAGATAGGAAAAGTAATAGCTACGAGAGAGACACCTGTATAATACTCAAAGAGAAGAGGAATAGAGAGAGAGAGAGAAAGACATAATGAGAGAGCGTGATAGAGAGAGAGAGAGAGAGAGACTGAGACAGACAAAGGAGAGTCGGAGGATGTGACCTCAGGGGTGGCTGGCCTCCCAGGAGCTTGCCAGGGTTGTTTTTTTTGAGGTGGGGTGGGGGGGGGGTCTCTATGAGTCTGTACGACGCCTGTTGTGTGGGGGTCTTCGGGTGTCTTGCGGGGGGTCAGTTCTGGAGTGTCCTCCTGGGTTGGCCTGGGGGCGTCGTGGAGCTGCCGTGGGGAAGCCATGGGCCGTCTCAGGGCCCGATTGCAGAGTCTTTTTTCCATCTCGGGGCAAGTTTGGAGGCCGCCTGGAACTGTTTGAGGGTCGCGTTGGAGCAGTCTTCAGGGCACACTGGCGCAGTCTTTTGAAGCTCTTGCGCCGTCTTGAGGCCGTCTCGCGGCCGACTGGGGCCTCTTCGATGTCGCCTGGGTAGTCGCGGGAGCAGGTCCTGCGGCCTCTTGCAGCCTCTGGAGGGGGACGGCGAGCGTGACAGGCAGAGCGTGCTGAAGCATCACCGGTATTCTTGCGACTCTGCCCTCTGAGGGGGCCTCGTCGGGCGCCTCGAGCATCTCGGCAGCCATCCCAGACACTCGGGAGGCCATCCCAGGCACTTGCCGCTGAGCGCTCAGGGAGCCTCGGGAGGGAATGCCAGCAGTTGGATTCTGCCTTGAGAGAGGCGCCCAAACAGCCACGGACGCCCAGACACACAGAAGAGCAGGAGCCGCTACCAGTTGCTCCGTTTGCCAGGGGGCGCGGCTGTGGGTTTGTGTCGTGCCGAGCCTCTCTGTCGTTAGGCTCCTCTTGGGACTCCCGCCTGCTCCAGCCTCCTCCCTCGGGGGCAAGGTGGG